TCTGTCACCCGCTGGCACTCCTCGTCAAACCACCCATTCCGGGGGCGCCTCTGAGCTGTACCTATCACCTCTCGTGCTGTTGTGCTCACCGCTCCGTGGACAGCTTCCCACAGATTGTTGAGATTCTCGTTCACGTTGATTTCCGCTATCCGCTCTTTCAGCTTCTGGTGGTACTCTGCAGCAACACCATCTACTGTCAAACGTATCTCCAGTTTCTCGAACTCGTAACGGTCGATAGACGCGCTCGAATTTTCGCGAAAACGGAGCAAGTTTCGCCATTAGGGTGTCTCCAGGTGTGCTTTCGGATATCCTTGCGTGCAAAGTGGGTGCTACTGATGGCCATATCACGAGCAGCAGTGAAGTTTATCAGCTTCAGGCCATTATCATTCGTTGAAGAGTAAAGGCTCTCTGTTCCAATGATTGGGCGAAAGAATTCCTCTCTTCCGACCTGCGTGTTTGCATCTCCGATGACAATTTTCACGTCGTGTTTAGGGCACTCATCATAGGTTTTATCCAGGCTTTCATAAAACGCGTCCTTCACGTCATCGGATTTATCGTTAGTCGGGTTGATCAGGCTGTAATTGAAGAATTTGCCACGAATCCTCAAAACGCAGATGCGCTCGCTAACCGGTTTCCACCGCATAACCCGCTTCATCTGTTTCCCAATCACTACAAAACCAACGCCGTGTTCTGCTCTATCGCCACCGCTGTAGTATATATGGTATTTGAACGATGTGTTGGCGATAGGATCTACCGCCCTGAATTCACGTTCTCCAGATCTAAGCCACCGTACTTCTTGGATAGCAGCCACACTCACATTCACCTTTTGCAGTTCACGGGCCAGAAGGCCCACTCGTCCAGGTTCATTTATTGTCCTTATTTCGTTGCCGTTGGGTTAGTTGCCGAAAATTCCGTTCGTTTTTTTCTTCTTCTTACTTCATTTTTCTGAGTACTTTTATAATTCAGTATGCTACCGTACCAGGGTCGCGATACCTACATCGTGTTGATGGGGCTGCCATCTTAGGTTTAGCTGACACAATACAGGATTTCTTTTTCAGCCGCTGGATCCCAGACAGACGCTGTTCGAGCCGCACCTCCTGGTGGACAGACGCTCGACGATTTGCACCTCCTCAGCCTTGCTATCATCACGATATGGGTTAAAAGTTATTCCTATTTCCAATTAAACACATATAATCTCATAGTGATAGCAATGTTTAACATATTTAGCCGGGTTTTAATCAAACAAAGGCAAATCGCTAGCTTTCATGCTAAGAAATACTGGTTTTTGAGTCAAAAGTTATTATACGTCGTTTGGTGGCCCCTATTGTTACTTAAGTCAAAGTGTATTTACCAAGATATTCGGGAGAATGCTCAATCACGTCTCCTTACGTGCAGCCCATTCATCATTTTAGGACCACCGAAATCATCTTAGCAACAAACAGTTCGATTTTTTCACTTTAATAATGAGAAAGCGAAACGACGAAAGAACACTTTTCACGGGTTTCTCAGTGCTGTTACTTAAGGCAAATGGCATCTCCATAGAAATCGGGTGACTTAAGTAACATCGAAAACTATTTTGATCGGAAGGTGATTACGTCAAAAAGCAATTCGACTGGTAAATAAATTTAAAAATGGGATGTGATCCTGTCTTCGGACAGTATATAGTGTAATAGCAGGAGCATCGATTGACACTGATAGCTCAACTTTGTTTACCTTTGTTACATTCGACGTAATGAAAATTTGCTCTTGATATGGGCATATACTGGCTGTCATCATCCGACACGTGGAAGCGTGAGGTAGGAGCTTGTGATGACCAGAGCTATGTTGGACGCTCTTTCCCCTGTGGTCCTCACCATTTTGGGGAAGGGAAAACCAATGGGAAAAATTCGAATGATACATTTTCACCTCCAATTATGCAAAGGGGGACCAACAGTAAAAATTCATATGAAACATAGTCATCTGCATTTACCGTGCCGATTCAAATTTCGGACACTTAAACTCGAATTTCGGACACTTTTAAAAGTTGATTATCTCGGTCGAATATGATCCACATGTCTTGTAAATTTTAAATTTTTTTGACTAGTGCCCTCCACGATCATCTAACATTATTACTTTGTTTCTAACTGGATGTAATATTTAATTAAAAATGAAAGTGTCCGAAATTTGAATCGTCCGAAATTTGAATCGGAACGGTATGCAAAGGAAAACTAAAATGAAAACTTTTCGCCTTCATTTATGTAAAGAAGAGCCAAAGGAAACAACATTCACCTCCAATAATTCAATAAGGGGACCATTGAGAAAAAAGTAAATGATAATTTGTTTCTCTAATTATGCATTGGAGAGGACCAAAGGGAAAAATTAATATGCTAAACACTTCTGAATTATAGAAAAAGTATTTCTCGTAAACTACACTAAATTGGAAATGTAAACAAGCATGTTAAGCTTTAAGACCCAAAATATTTCAAAAACAATATCTTTCATTGGTGGAAAAAGTGACTAGGACCATTAATAACCAAATTTTGGTTGAATCCAATATGTTTTCGATTTTGACGCACTAGTTTTATAAGATTTGACGTCCAGAATCCTATTCTGAATCAATGAAAAAATTAACAAGTTGCTTAGATCTTCCATTTTCATGCTGGTTTCAAACGCGTATTCAGCAACAGTCTCCTGAAGAGAACCCCCAGGAAAGTGACCAGATTAAGTAACACATATTACCACATGATAATTTTAAAACAAGCCGCCAACATCCTCATTATACCAGATATATTCCCCCGGGCAAGTAAAACAATTCTGGACTCAGTCATCAACACCTCAATTCACATGAGAATTCGATAACATAACCAACCCATGGTGGTTCTATCCAGTGCCCAGAACCACATTGGCAACCCCTGGTCATGTTCAAATTCCCCTGGAAAATGGAAATAGTCTCAAACCAAAACCCATCATGTGACATATCAAATTACAAAGAAATTCAAAACTAAGATTGTTGGTCATATTGTTTGTTCAATATCTTGACAAAAATCGAACAAGTATCCAACCGCTTAGATATCATTTTGATACTGGTCTGAAAAGATACGATGGTGTTTTCGGATGGAAATTCCAAATGACATTGTTTATAGCATGTCACAAAAACCAACATAATATTTACCGATGAACCAATGAACACTACCGCCACCACTGCCGACCAAAGTAAACGCCACCGCCGCCGATGACATGGAGCAATGAATGCGCACCCACACATCACCGGACAGGAAAGGATCGACGATCACCAATCACCATCGATCCGCAGCGATGGGAGAAACTAGGTTCTCTTGGTCTCAACCATCTCTGTTTCCAAAGACAGCGAAGGTCAAGGCAATTAATTAGATCACTTCTTCTTATTCTTCTTCTTATTCGCATTTCAAGCTTATTGCATATCGCATATTAGCTTATTGCGTGCTCTCAACTTAGTGTTCTAGATGCACTTCCACAGTTATTAATTGAGAGCTTTCGATGCCTGTAGCATTTTTGCATTAGTATAATTGTGTGGCAAGTCCAATCATACTTCTATGCCCAGGGAAGTCGAGAAATTTTCCAACCCGAAAAATTCCTAGACCGGACCGGGAATTGAACCTAGCCACCTCCAGCATGGTCTTGCTTTGTAGCTGCGCCTTTACCGACTGAGCTAAGGGAGGCCTAATTAGATCACTAGTGCCGGTTAGACCTTTACGGCAGAAGGATAGGCTACCATGCAATATTGTAACGTGTTTTTTGTTATGTGTGATATGTACATTAACTGTAAATATATGTAGTGGTTAGTGGACGGATATTTTTGAATACGTGTTTAAATGTCCACAAGAAAGCGATTGGTTCGGGATCACAGCATACACACTGCGGCAGTGCAGTAGTTCTGCTATATTATCCATTCTCATGAATAACACGATCGTGCTGGAGGAGTGAAGCAACACCTAAATTATACAGTTCACCGACGAACTGACCTCTCGAGGACTCCCTCCCAAAAGGGAACCAATGGGAAAAATTCGTATTAAAAATTTCCACCCCAAATTAAAAGGGAAAACAATTAATTTATACACCGTCAAGGGGGAACCGAAGGGAATTTCTCCCGGATGATACATTTAAAATAACCGTTTTTCCCCAGCACCAACGCAAGATCTCTGTTGGGAGCTTCAGGTGGCAAATTACACACTGGCACACATTGAACGTAATCCCTCGCATTCGACATGCATACCTCGACTGCCGCTCCATCACCATAATGAAAAACTAATTGCTCAGGGTTGCAATGTATGGAGCATCAATTTTTCGGACTTAAACTTTTTGAAAAGGGATTTTTCCTCATCTATCCTGTTTGCAGCTGGACGGAATACGCGTTCAGAGCCATAACGAAATTAACAATATCACCCATGGTGGGTTTTGCACTTTCATCAAATTTGTGCTTACAACAGCAACCACAACACGACCGAGTTGTGGTCTTAGGCCACGCACCGAAAAATATTGACCGATCAAGTAAACAGACTGTCGATTGTACTATCGACACCGGAAATACAACTGCTATTGTGACCACTGGTGTAAGCAAACTAAAGATAAAAATCAAGTTTTATTAGTAATGCAATTTTAGGACATTTCATACAATTCACGGTTCTCACTCACATTCGTTCAGATTCTCGTCTATTTCGTTCAACTGCTGTCAGCTCCAAGCCTTCGTGCAGAGTCCCTGGTTGGAAGAATTTACCCTCGCTTATCAATCCGTTAGCAACCGAGTATGGCCATTTTGATTATGTGATGCTCGGAACATCCTGTTGTTCATATTTATACTACATATATAAATGTTAATCTGAAAACAAAACGTCACTTCAAATCACACTTGGCTTTCGTCAACTCGCCTTGCAGAAGATTTCGCTCGTTTGAGATTCAACCAAATTATTAAGTTTCAACACCCCATCCCCATCCGCAGCACGCGTCGCATGAAAAATAAAATCGTTTTCCTTATTTTCTTTCAGATGAAAACCAACCAGGGCAGGAGCAACAGCAAAATAACAACCACCACCAGCAGCCATCATCCCGATGAATAGAAAGCTTTTCTTCCTGTGCGCCCGTTGCTCGATCCTGTCTCCGCGCTCGCCTGTCAGTTGCGTCGAGAAATAGAACAGTCCTGTTGAATAGAAACATCTCGCCCCAAAGACAAATCCTAGCGAAAACTTCCTCACACCAGTTTTTCTGCCGCTCACCAGGATTGTGTGAATATTTTTGTTTGAATAGAAGTGTGCGGGTTTTCCTCCTTTTTTTCCTCCAGTCGAACGGAAGCAATTGCTCGTCGTCGTCGTCAGCTGCTGGAAGTGAGCGGGGTGGCAGCGATGCGTGAATGGAGAGAGTCTTCTCTACTATAATAACATGGAAAACATTTTGATGATCTGACTTCAAATAAAAAAATAAAAGTTTTCTTGTGAGACACACACACACACACACACACTGTTGTCACTTTTTCGTATGAAACTACGCAGAAGAAGCGAAGGGCATCATCAGGAGAAAAAAAAGATAACTGGAAGGAATCAGAAACATTCCGAACCGAAAGTCCAAATAGCACCACACCGGAAACGGGCTCAAGTCTTGCTGTCGGGTCTTCATCTTCACTCCGGAAAATAAAGCCCAAAAGCCCGGGGAATCCCGACGACCGACGGCGCGCAGGAGAAGATTAGGTCAGAGTGAAATACATTTTGTTTGTTTCGACGGCGCGTGAATGGGACGAAAAAGGAATTGGTATTTCGGGTGCCACTTCCTGGAACGTACTTCCGGTGGGGGGGTATAAGATGTGATGGAGACGCAGCAAGGTGGCACAATCAAGAGGACCAAAGCTTGCGGAATGCGACGGAACCAGTTTATTGGTAGAGGCGAAAAGTTTTCATAAATAGTTTACGATTCCCATGTAGTTTCGGAGCGGAAAAGCTCAAGCGGTCTCCGACGGTCGTTGGCAAAATTAAGCGCGTGGAAAAACTGCGAGAGATTCGGCCGGTCGAGGAAAATTGTGTACGTGGCAGCAGAGGAAAAAAAAAATCTAGCCAAATCCAATTTAGTCCAAGTTTGTAGGGCTACAGCGGCAGAAGGCACCACCCTCACGTACAAGCGGTGTGTATGTTGAGCCTGGAGTGAAAAAAGTTTAATAATTCTGAGTGTAATATAGTGTAACAAAGTATTTAAACGTAGCGGGAAGCTTCATGCATGATATGTTGAGTTGCGAGCGCTCGACGGGTCTGTGTGCGTGGTGTGGCAACGTGTAATGGGCAGAAATTAACACGGGAAAGTTGTGCATTCTTGGAGTTTTGCAGCGTGATATGAATTACTTGCTCCGTTTGAGCAACAATCGACAACAATTTCAACGACAACGAGCTTTCTAGCAATGGCTCAGCGACGCAACAAGTCGAGGTAAGTGTGAATTATGATGTTTTATTGTTGGAAGTTGCTAGGGATGACGCAATGCTTTAATAGCAGAGCATTTAGATTTTGATTGTGTTTCTAGCGGTTGAAGTGTGCCACGGTACGTTCAGAAGACTTCATGATAGTTTGGCAGTGTTGATAGTGTACGACACATACGAAGAGTGAAAGTCTAATAAGAATGCAATGAAGCATGGTGCGATGCATGAAGTATAGCAACAAACAATTTCAATACAATTTTACATACCAATCTTTTTGCCGACAAAACTTACCGAATAGCCTCAATCGAACTGAGACTATCAGAGAAGATGGGGCATGTTGGAAGTCATCCCCAATCCGAAGTTGATTGCTGCCAGCTCAGTAACAAAAACGGAACAAGGTTCCTGGAGTTTGCGGAAGGCGCTAGAGTTTTAATTGAAGACACCGAAGCCAGTGGATCCATTGAGACGGAATCCATCTGTAAAATATCTTTTCATGCAATTGACGTGTTGGTACTTTTGAGTAAAAAAATACGCGGGATAATAATAGATTGAAGTTAATCGGGAATCCCATGAGTTGCTTGTTTCATGGTTAGATCATTTTAAATTGAAGAACTGCGATTGGTGAAGTGAACACAGTCTAAAGTACGGTAACTGATGATGGTTGGACCTATTTAGGCCGGTTTCACACGACGTCAAAATTCATGTTGTATTTTTTTATGAATGCAACACATAATTATGAAAAATTCATGCTTTGGAGAAAGGTCTTCTTTTCTTGTTTCTAATAATAACATAAAAAGTTAAATATTATGAACAAATTAGTTGATAAAAAGTTTTTTTCCAGCAAAGAATTATGATGTTGGTTGGCCCTAAAAAAAATAATGATGGTTAAACCTATTTTTGCAAATGATAGTTTAGCCCACATTTTGTTCAAACACTTTGTTTAGAGCTAATTGGTATCATGAAAACACAGTGAATACAGTTTTTGTGAGTTTATTATTTAAAAAAATCGACAAATTTGAGTTTCACTGCATTCTTAAAAAAGATCACTTCCCACGCATTAGCTATATATCAGCTTCATTTTCTCGGAAATCACTGACTCGACTTGGAAAATATTTAACGTAAAATTATAGGTATTGTGGTCCCATTGAAAGCTATAAAATATTTTTGTAATCGGTTCCGGAGATATGGCCGGAACAAGTTCCAGGGTTTATGGGCCATGGACCTAAATTTGACATGGAAGGAATAAAACCTATCATGCGACACTTCACATTACGTCCAAATTCTATAATAAGCTCAATAACAAGATTGAGTGCCTTAAACTCCATTGGCCACTTAGGCTGGGGCTTAAAATAACAGAATATCAGAACTTTCAAAAATATGAAGATCACACCACAGGTGAATTAATTCCGGTTTTATAATATTTTTTTTTTTCGTAAATAAGTTTCAGTTAGCAATTTTAAGTTTGTAAACATTTTATTTCAAGTTAATTCACACATAGAAGGTGTACGAGACAGGCTCAATACAAATTCATATTAACTGATTCTTTGGCGCTTTCAAGGAAATCAGTGGTTACACTTTCAGTCAACCTGACGATGGAATCCCTCCTTTAAATGTACGCCTAACTAGCGACGCAAGGTCCTTAGCAGCTTCCAAGATTCGTCTTGAGACTGCCAGAAGCAGCGCACATTAAAACCCAAATACCCTAGCTGGTTCTCCAAATCAACACTCAACACTATTTCACTTCCATATTCCTTGCCGTGGCTTCCCTTAATTTTTCCGTGAAGTATCGTTTTCGGAATATTGTACCTTTTCTATGCCTGATACGCAGTAAGTGACTTATTTCTCACTAAAAGAACAGCCTCTTGAGGATTTTCGGGCGTATAACTATTTCTTTATCCATTTTTTCAATCGATGAAACGGACCACTCGGCCAACTCGAAATCGAATTTCAAATCAGCTGTGCATGAAGAATATAAACAAACCGAAGCGCACCTAGCGGCCGTCTTAAGAAACACATAGGTTCAACAATCATCATGCGTAGGTCCAACCATGATCATATTTATCTTTTCGAATTGCGTCAATTATTCAAACATGTTAGTGAAACCAATAAATAAATGGTGTACTAAAGTGTTGTTTACATCTTATAGTGCTTAATTACTGGTATTATACTGCATGAAAATAAAATAAAAATATAAATAATGTTCCTTTTTTGTATGGTTGAAAGCAAGGCATAATGATGAGCTAATGCGTTAAATGTGAACTGTTTTGAAGTTTTTTCAATGAAACATACATGCAAATTGAAGAAAAAGTGTTTTTTATGATAGTAGAGCGATCTTTAAAAAAAAAATAGCGAAGATTGACTTAACGAGCGATTGAAAAAATAGGTCCAAATATTATCAGTTTTTGGATAGGTCCAACCAGAATCAATTACCCTTTAACAAGGAAGACACCGAGGCAACACCATTTGTTTCTCAGCGAGTTATAACAACCTAAGTGTGACTAAATTAAGGTCAAAATTTATTGGCATCAAATCACATATGAAACTTCATCGTACCTTAAAAAGCGCAAAAGGTGGCTAAACTCTTCAAAGATGGTTCATGTGTTTTGGGATTTCATAATAGTAATTTTGTCCAGAATTGACATTGAATTGTCCAAAGATCTTCGCAATGATTTCCTAAGAACTCACCTTAGTTTTCTATAGGCAAACTGTATAAATTCGATGCTCCTTATAACTTCTTTGTAATTTTTAATCATTTCAATAAACTTCGTTTCAAAAGTTTGCTTGAAATGATTCCAGAAGTTCTTTGATATTTTACTCCTTGGAAAATTTCTGATGACTCGCAAGATACTATCCTCCAAATTGAAATTTACCTTAAAATTCCTTTGAAACTATTATCAGATTGAGATTTCTTTGAAATATTCATCAGATCTTCACCTTGACCCTCATAATTATTTTTAGAATACCCTCGATTTTTTTTCAAGATTTCTCTCGATTTTTTCATAATAGGGTAGAGCGCTACTTCATCGTTATTACCCATTTCCGTTCTATCGACCAGAATCGATCCATAATATCAATGATTTCACCATGCACCAAGGTTGCAAAGACTCATTTCAGCTAAAATAATGTTTTTCGAAATAATAAAACCAAAAGATGGTATGATGGCATGTTTTACTTGTAACTTACAAGAAGAGGTTACAAAGTATGCGTTGGAAACATAAAACCTGTAAATTTTGCTTTCTATGAGTCACAATCAGCGATTTGCTGATCGCTGAGTGAGTGAGTGAGTGAGTGAGTGAGTTTGTGAAAAATCGCTGATTGTGACTCTCATGAAGTGAAATAAACAGGTTTAATATGTCAAACACATTCTTTGCAACCTCTTCTTGTATCCTACCAATTCAAAATTTGATTATGGCATCTAATTATTTCATAATTTAGAAAAACATTGTTTTAGCTGAAATGAGTCTTTGCAACCTTGCCATGCACAAATCAATAATAAGTTTTTTTTTCGATGCGTTAGTTCATTAACTACACCATTAATCCTATTAGAGCGCATTGTATGAATATTTACGTTCATTGTTCTCAAAACAAAAGAAGCGCTCCAAGTGAATCCCTTTTTTCTACGTTTATCCATAGGACGAAGAAAATCTTTTCTGACTCGTTGGATGAATTCAGAATCAAGAAGCAGTATTAGATTTTAAACAATATCTCAAAAACTTGTGACTCTTTATCAAATCCTATAATTCTATAATTCGAATCATAAGCACAGAAGAACTTTAATTGACCACGTTTATCCCAATTTTGATTCCATTTGTTCAGTAAGGGTTACTGATTTGAAATTAACCGATCATGAGATCTAAGTGATTAATGTATTAGATAATATCAATAACAACGATGAATTAGTAAAATTGAAGTGCTAGAGGAAATATTCGAAACAGGTTGTTTCGAATCTTGTTGAGAGGAGCGTGGATTTTCCATTCGCGGCTGGTAACTTAGATGAATCTACAGCTGTTCTTAATAACGCTTTGAAAACGTGTACCAATCAACTAGTTGAGCAAATTTTGTGTTTCTTTGAAAAACAATTAATAAAGTTCGAATTATGGTTGTCACGCCATCAAATATTAAAATCACCTGCAAATACATTTAATTTACTGGAATCAAGGAATGTCTCGAGCCAATTCCCTAAAACTTCAACAAAACGCTGGGGGCTTTTGAAAAAAATTATAGACCTTTATTGTTAAGATCAATCAAGCGCTTTGGAATTACGAGTACTGCATATAAATGGTTTGAAAGTTATTTGTCTGACAGAACTCAACGCACTGTTTTTAATGATTCGGTTTCCAGTCCTGCGGGGACTAGCCTTGGAGTGCCCCAGGGAAGTGTATTAGGGCCCCTGTTATTTATTATGTATATTAATGACTTGCGACGTGTTTTACGATTTTTTCTACATTAATCTTTTTGCAGATGATACTGTGTTATTCATTGCAGCTAAGGATTTAGATGATGCCGTTTTACACTTGAATGAAGATTTGCGTTCTCTAAGTAGATGGTTGAAATATAAGCAGTTGAAATTGAATACAAGCTTAACTAAATTTATGGTAACTTCGCGGAATCGATTAAATGAGAACGTCTCTGTTGTAATTGATGATGAGACTATTGATCGCGTTGAAGAGATTAAATATCTTGGCGTGATTATTGATGACAAACCTAAGTTCAACTCTCACATTGACAATGTCATCAAGAAAATTGCCAATAAGTATGGAATTCTACGTCGACTGAAAAACGATTTAACTATTGCCAGCAAAATACAGCTATACAAATCAATCATTTCTCCTCATCTAGACTTTTGCCTTTGCATATTGTTGCTGGCCAATGAAACACAAATATCGAGATTACAGCGCTTGCAGAATAAAATAATGCGTTTGATTTTGAGATGAAATAGATTCACTTTCTCAACTTTGATGCTAGACGCCTCACAATGGTTGTCGGTGAAGCAAAGATATTTGACTATGG